GATGTCTCCTGGACTTGTTCTGAGTGGGATGGAGTTCTGGGATTGTGTTTTAGTCCTTCGTTTTGTCATGTTTGCTACTGGATGCAGAAAGCTCAGTTTCCCTCTTCAGTGGCTGCACTAGTGTCCCTAGTTTTCTTGTTGGTCAGGTTTGCCCCTCAGTGACCCCTGAGAAGCACTATTTAGTATCGGGTGTTCTGGCAGTTGTTGATTTGTATCTAGTTATCCCAGGTCTCAGATGCGGGCATTGGTGTCAGCTGATGGCTGACCATCTGATCCAGCATCCCCTTGCAGTTCAGGGCATGTGCACAGCCCAGACTCAGGTTGCCCTGGTGTGACAATCCCGGCCCAGTGGACCTATGTCCCCAGGCAGTTCAGGGTACAGGCAAAACCCAGACACAAACTGCAGGGTCAACAGTTTGTGAACTACCTGATTCTGTGTCTCCAGTCAGTTCAGGACACATACAGGAACCAGATGCAGGCTGGACGGGCAGCAATCACAGACTGCCTGTGCCTGCGACCCCCCAGGAGGTCCTGGGGTGAGTAAAGCATGGACTCAAACCACAGGACCAGCACCTCTTGGAGCACTTGCTCACTAGGCGCAGGGCACATGCAGGGAGGGGCCATCAAAATCTTTTTATATTGTTAATCTCCTTAATTATTTTAAGCTTCATGCTAAAATATAAATGGTTCATGCATCATTTTTGCAATATTTGAGCATTGTAACTTTGTATAATTACTCTCATCAATGTGTTTGATACCTTCTTATGTTTTCTTTTCACTCAGTGTCTCTTCCAGTTTGAAGAGTTCCCTTTCATATATATTTTAGGAGAGGTGATGATAAATTAAGCACACTGCTTATTTTGTCTGAGCCTGTGGTCACTGCCACTATTTTAGCTCTAGGTAGCACCCACAGTGCAGGTTTGCCAAAAGTTTGTGGTTGATGTGTTATTACTGTTTTAGCATTAGAGGGTACCCCAAACGCAAGTCTATTGCAAATCTGCAGCTATTGTGTCACTCAGCATGAGGGAAGGGCCTGAACAGGAAAGTCTGTTCCTGTATGCTGGGGCAGGCACAAACACCTCTTTCACAGTCACAAAGCTGTGGTCAGGTGTTGCAGTTTTTTGCCCAGTTCTAGGCTTCACAATGGAGGGACCATCTCTGACCTCATGAACAATAACTTGTGCCTCACCCTCTTTTCTCTCCAGCAGGCAATGGATGTCCCTATGGTGTGCTGTGTGAGGGTGTGGGAGAGATGATGGAGGGCACCACTGTCTCTCATGGGGGCACAGAGCCTACAGCCTGCTCAGACTAGTACAAGGGCAGGACTAAGACCCACACTGTTGTGGTTTGTCTGCAGCTATGATTACTCATTGGTTCAAGACTGCTGCAGGTGACCTGAATTGATGCTGGCTGGATTACAAGTCCCTCCTATTGGAAGCAGTATTGGTCTAGAGTCTCTGTCAAAGGGCACTGGGGACAGGGGTCACTGGTATCTTCCCAGTGTTGAATTTCTCCTGCCAAGCCCTGAGGTCCAAGGAAAAGTCCTATGCTTTCTTCCTTGTCCTACCCTCCAAACAGATAGTCTTTTTCTTCTCTGTGCTGTCTGAGGCAGTTCCATCTACCAGAGTAATGTCCATGGACACTTGCCTGGGGCTGAGGCTGCGTGGCTCTGTTCAAATGCTGGGTTTCAAGTCTAGGGCCTGTGGTTCATTGCTTTTCCCTCCACCAAGTGGGAGGTATCTTTCCCCATGTCGTGCTGCTTGAAGTTAGGCAAAGGGAGACAGGAACACCTCTTTCCTTCCTGCCTTCTTCTGAGTCTTTTTTTGCTAATGTGCAAGGAAACAGTACTGAGACCTCGCATTTGGGTTCCTTAGCTATTGTGAAGGCAGTTAGATGTGTGCACAACTGTTCAAATAGGTTTTTCAATGGGGAGACAGTTTTTGGAGGGTCTAGCTCCACCATCTTGCTCTGCCTTAAACCTTTATTTTACAAGTCATCCTGCCTCAGGCGTTTTGTTATAGCACTATAAAACAGACTACCACAGACCTAACCACTACCTGCCAGGGCTTCTGGTGGCTCCAATTCACATGCTATATGGGGACTGTGATAAGAGAGGGGGTGGGGCAGAGAGAGACAGAGACAGAGTGAGAAAGACTTTGCTTTAGATACAGGGCTGAATAGCCTGTGTTGGGGAGCCTGGTGTCCCCAGCATACCTCTGGCAACAGGCAGGCCATGCTTCCAAACTTTGAAAAGCAAAATACCAAAGAGCAACTGGTGAAAACTTTCCAGAACTTTCTGACAGGGCCTTCAGGGGGGTTCCTTGGGATACTGTTTTCCCAAGGGAAAGGTCTCGGGCCCTTAACAAAGGCCACCTCCTTCACTGGAGGTGTGCGTGCGTGTGTGTGTGTGTGTGTGTGTGTGTGTGTGTGTTGTGTAGGGATTAATTCCTGTCCCCTTCTTTCAATGAGGATGTAAAATACACAGTGTCCCTCCCCTAGTTCAATGTGCTTGGTGGAGCCCCAGCTGTAACAAACATGGCCTTTTATGTTTCAAACTAAGTCAGTTTCATGAAATGAACACCCAGGCTCTGGGCAGCCAGCAGTCCCTCTGGCAGTTGGTAGCCCATTAGGGAAAAGACATACAGGCCCTCTTCTTCCCCAGAAAGGAACAGTTGGCTCCAAGAGGTGAAAGTCTTGTTTATTGTTGCAGCAACTCTTATACAGACATTAGCGTTCAGTTAAATAAAGGAGATAGCACGTTTAATACATCACAACCCCAAACCAGATGACTGGCCACGGTAAGGAGAAGGGGCGGGCAGGCTGGGACCGGTGACCAGACTGTCAGAGGAGATACATTCAGTGGGTGTGCGGTGCCAACATTCCAGGCTCACGTGTAGATATCTTCTTTATATATTTATTTATATTTATATATAGAGATCATTGAGTTTTGTGTATACAAAGAACGATATTGTTACAAATACAATACTATACTTTTCCCAACGCTTTACAGTTAAGTCTATTGCACCCTCTTTACGGAACGGTAGTACAAGTCCATACTCTAGGTGCTGTGCTAAGTATGTATAAGAGATTTCATTCCCACACGGTCCTCACACACTGCCTCCAGGGAGGGGGAAATAAAATCAGAATCATGTGCTCAAGTGGACCCCAGCGAGGGAAGGAGCAGACGGAAGTGAAAGTCAGCCCAACAGGTGGCCTTGCGAAGGTGCTAGTCGACACATCAGGAAGAGGCGGCTCTCAGTTGTAAACATTGGTAACAGCTACACCGCTGGGTGGAGGGGCCCCGAGGGGCTGTGTGGCCGGGAACACAGGCATGGACGGGCTGCGGGGACAGGAGGAGCAATGGGGGAGGTAGTAGGTTACTCTGGGCTCCCTGAAGGCCGGTGTGATACGCAGTGCTCAGAAAGCTCGCCCACGTGTAGGGCGGAGAGCCCTGGAATGTGCTCCACCCCAGGAGCTGCTCTGGGGCTGGAGGATGGAGTCGCTTGGGAAGTGGGCTCCAGGCGTTGGTCTTTGGGGGTTTCTTCCTCTCACGGACCCAAGGCTGATGGTGGCTCCCTGAAATGCTCCCACTGGAGAAGGCAGAGGCAGGGTGGGTTCTGGTGCATCCTGGCTGGACCCCGAGGGGGAGGCAAGTCTGGGAGCCTGTCCCAGCTGAGTGGCCAGAGTGGCTTTGTGCCTTGCAGTTTGGGGAAAGGATGCTCTATACATTGTCTTCCCCATTATGCCAGGTGTTGAGATATTTACATATATAACTCTATATATATGGAGATATCAAAGGGGAAAGAGACCACCACTTGGGACTTTTGGACGTGGAGTGACTAACACCTGAGAGCCCAATTCTGAGGTTAATCACACACAGGCCAATGTTAGTAGAAGAAAAGAATATGCTTCAGCCAGGTGAGCCTGTATCAAGCTCCAACCGTCTTCTCCCTGGGCGTGAGGAACCACTTTCTTTGACAAGGAACAATGTAGCCAAAACATGTTACTTCTCTAGCAGGGCTTAGGAAATTGACTTTGCAGCCTTTCTCAAAGTTTCCAAAGTTTTTCTGCAATAGGAATGGAAAGTATCTCCTCTTTCCCTTGGGTAAAAAGCTTGACTAATTATTTGGAGTTGTACAGGAATGTGCTTGTGAAGCTCCTGTCCCTGGGCCCATCTCGGGCGGCCTCTGTTCTTGTCCAGGTGCCCAAGTAGCCACCCTGGGAGTAGGCAGGCATGAGTCCCTCCAGTGGTTTTCAGAGGCCCCTGCTGCCTGAGATGGCACCCAAGTCATGTTATTCCTGTTCTACTGTCTCTTCCGGTAGAGGAGAGATGGGGTGATGACACTTTAGTATTTCTGACATGAGGCTGTAGTTGGGTTACTTCAGGAAAAGCAAAGAGAACCTAGGCCACGGTTCCCATCCCTCACATTGGTGGTAGGCTGACCTTGGGCTGGTCCTCTTTAGCATTCTGGTAAGCATCCTTGAAACAAGTCCTGGGGTCCTAGCTCCCCCAGCCCCACCCCACCCAGCTCTCTGCAGGGGCAGCAGCCTTTTTCCTTCTCAAATAGGACATCTGGGCAGCTGGTAGCCTCTCTTCATTGGAGCTTTCTGTACTATGGCCAAACAGAGTTCGGCTGCTAATTCCTCTCAAGCATTTGGCTTTTCTGTGCAGACAACTCAGAAGACAGAGAGATCCCAGGGGAGTGACCACATTGCTCTCGGGTCAAAGTCTCATTGTTTGTAATCTCACTATATTCACTTTTCTTTCATGTAAATCCCTCCTCTCTCTATATAAATATATCCAACCCAACATTTGCTCACTGAATTTCTATTTCTACAGACAGAACATAAATATCACAGATGTAGAGAACAGGGACTATATTAATATTACAAAATATATTAGTTTTTCTTCCCCTGTTTCTACTGAGGTCATGAATAAAACAAAACAAAAAAACAAACCACACCCCACATGAAAACAAAATGCTCTTTGGACCAAGAATGAGTGAAAAGTGGCTCAGAATAATAATATTACTAAAATACCTGCACTGAACTGAGATGGAATCATAAAAGTGAGGCACCTGATGGAAACATACTGTTCCACAGCAGCTGGAAACTCAGACCCACAGGGCAGTAAGCGGGTTTCTGGAACGCATTTGGGATCCTAGGCATCATTTGAGATCATTGCTGACCCCTTAGTGCTGTGCCTTAAGGACCATTCTGGGCTTTCAACACAATATCCAGTCTAGTGCCCTAACAGAGCAGAAAAGAAGGCTGGCATCCACTAAGGACAGGAAACACACTGGGGACCCCCACATCACTGTCTTCCAGGGGAACAGCTCACTGTCCCCAGGACCCCCATGGAGGGCATGGGCGACTCTACGAGGACACTCTTGAGTCAAGGTGGTGTTGGGAGGCCCAGGCTCTCAGGACAAGGCTGACCGGGCCCTGCAGCCAAACCTCCTCCCAGGGCAGGGATCTCCCAAGGAGATGCTATGGACTTTCCAGGGTTCAGCCTGCCTCACTGGTGGTGGGAGAAAAGAGTGCACGTGTGTGTGTGTGTGTGTGTGTGTGTGTGTGTGTAATATACAGAGCCAGCCATGCCTGTGGTGATTACTGGTTGGTAACTTCCAGAAAACCTGGCAAGGCTTCGCATGGCCTGCGAATCACCAGGCTCTCTGCAGTGCTCTGGGAGTCTTGTCTGAGGCCAGCATTTCCCCTTTTATCCTTGGGTGAGAAGGCCCATATGAGAACATACATATACATTGAAACTAAAACTAGCCATGGAAGAGGTTTAAGGTTGGCTCAGAAATTCTGGGTGGAAATAATGCAGGGTACCCCAGAACATGATGGGCAGTGCAAATTCCTATGTGATGTGGGCTGGTCCCCCTCATACCGTATTCCCATCAAATGACTCCAGGGGAGCAGAGATGAGCAACCCGGTGTAGGCACTGCTAAGTTGGTGTCTGTGTTGCCCCTGGGAGTTCCTTCTTTGAGGTCTGAGCCTCCTGGGGAGAGACGACCTCCCTTCGGCAGTGACAGCACCTCAGGACCCCCAAAGGCCCTCCACGATGGTTGTGGGGAGATCCCAGCTGGATACTTGCTGTTCTCCATCCTCAAGGGGGTGAACAGGAAACTTCCCTGGTATCAACGGAAAAGAAAAAGCACGAAAGAGACAGAGAGCAAAGAGGTCCTTGCGGATTCTTCTCTTCCTGTGTAAGACCGGATGCTGGGCGGGAAGGGAAAATGTCTCAGTGGACACACAGATGCAGCACGAGAAACACAACCACAACGAGGACAGTCCTCCATGCATGCCGCTGCGGAGGAGCGTGAGGCGCAGGCTCAGATGTAAACGGGCTGCTCCTGGGCCGTCAGCAGTCTGTACATGGCAGCTGGCATCGTCTTCATGTGGATCTGAGGGCAGGAAATGCATGTTAGCCGTGGGCCCAGGCTGGGCAGGGCTGTATGGACCCTGGAAAGATAGTGCCTCTCATGTGAGAGCTTTCAAGGTATCTCCTACAACTTGCTACACAGTTCAGGGGCGACAGGAAACGAACAAGGAAAACCAGGTATTTTCCCAGTCAGATGCTCCTGTTCTCGGTCCTTTGAAAGACAGAGAATGGTTCAAACGCAAGGAGCCACTCTCGGTTCTAATCCACTCGGCCTCCCTTTTCTCTCTTGGCACTAAGAGACTGGAAGCCCTGAAAGTGCAGTCAGGCCTTCGGGCAAGCCCACGCCAGGGAGACACCTCTGGAGGGCCACTGTGGCCCTGAGACCTGGATCTGAGATGAAGTCCTCCAAGCACATTTGGTGGGATTAACGGGGAAAAGCAGAGCAGCAACTGAGGGAGGCAGCAAAGCTCTGCGCGTGGAGGAGGTAAGAAGGGGCCTGCTTTCCTGTCACAGAGCGGTTCTCAGGCAACCCGCCTCTAATGGCTTAGCATCTGGTCAGAGACAGGACGTTCTGGGTACTGAGGGGCATCTGGGGGGAGAGGACACTCAGGGCAGCTCCCTGGAAGGCCCAGCAAGACTTGAAGGGCACCCGATGACGCCCCTAGTCCCTCCGCAGCCCGGACCTCACTCCTACCTCCCCAACAGCATTGGAGAGGATGTGGACGATCTTCTCGTGGGGGGTGGCCACCACACTCTGTCCGTTGATTTCGATGATCCGGTGTCCCACGCGGACGCCTCCTCTCTCAGCTATGCCACCTCGCATGAGGCTGCAGATCTGGCAGAGCCAAAGACCTAGTTATGCCTGCGGGCAGCATCAGCTCCCAGGACTGTGTGGAGATGGAAGACCATCTTCCCTGGCACCCCAAGGCCCCAGCTGGTACATCTCTGAGAAGCTGACATGGTCAGGCCTAGAGTGCTTAAATCTCAGGTTCTTCCCACAAGAGTCAGATCCACACACCCACACCGCCACTGCGTCATGCAGCCCGCAGAGCGAACGCAGCATGGCGCTGGATTTCACGGCACGCTGGACTCTGACACTTCCATCCCCCCGGGCCTTGGTAAGAAGAGCTGCCTTTGTTTTCCTGAGAAACCACTTTGAAGATATCAATAAGTGATACAACAACCATGGTTAATTTCCTACAACTTTGTCTGTAACTCTGTTTTGTCTGTATTGTTCTTAGGCTATTTCGTAAATGGATGTCTGTCTGTTGATATGTTTTCCTTCTTTTATTTTTTAAAATTAAAAAAAAAAAAGAAGCGCTGTCTGAGCCTGCGATCAGGTGACGATGCCCCGACTGCCGGCGGGTGCAGCACAGGCTGTGATTTTTTTCCCCAGAGTCACACCTGTGTTCCCACAGTGACCACAGAGCCAGCAGCCTGATGCTAGGGCCAGCACCGTGTGAGCCAAAGTGGCACTAGGACCCCAGAGGGTGTGGCACAGCGTGGCGAGCTGCAGGGGACAGGCGCCTGTAGGCCTTCCTAACTCAATGGCCCGTGTCACTGCGTACAGGGACAACGACGACACTGCTGCTTATGGTGGTGCAGCCAGGCACTGGGACATGAGCCCTTCTGGCTGCAGGGTCCAGCGACCCCCACCTCACACATGAGCAACTCAAGTGCTCTAAAAAGAAATGTGTGAACTTAATCTTTATTTAAAAGCCAGGGCAGAGGAGACCCGGCAGCAAGTGTGCTTAGTGTGTCTGAAGTGTGTGGGCCCTGCAGGCTCTCAGCCGCTCTGGTCCAAATACCCCTTAGCTGCTTTCCATACCGGAGACAAAGCCAGGGTCTAAGCCTGGTGTGTGTTCGGTGGTACCTGCCTAGCATTCACGAGGCTCTGGCTTCAATCCGTAGCACCCCCAAAGAACAAAGCTCCAATGGCACAGTAAATTGACAAACAGGTGTGGTGGTACCTGCCTATAATTTTAGTTTCCCTAGAAGCTGAGGTGGGGGATCACAAGTGTTCAACCAGCCTGGGCAACTTAGTGAGAAACTAATTCAAAATTTAAAGAAAGGACTGGGGTGTAGGCCAGTAGTAGAGAGTGTGGGAAGCACACAGCCCCAGGCTCAATCCCCAGCATGCAAGAAACCAAAAACCAAAAAAAGCAAAACCCCTTCCATGATGGATGCTTTTAAGGAATGGACCAGCTTAAAAAATAAACCAAACTCTGCCTCATTTTCATTTGTCCACATTTTGGAAAAGGGCACGGGGCGAGCTGTACTTACAATTCCATTTTGGACACTGAAACCCAGCTGGTAGCGAAGGTCTGGCCTTCTGATTAACACGGTGGTCACCGGAGGACATCTCACAATGTTCAGCTTGACTCGGGACTGATTCTTTAAGCCCTTGAACATGAATAGAGTGCAGTGAAGATGGGGACTACTGACGCTGCCAGATAAGAGCAGACAGCTCCCCAGGCAGCTGCAGCCCCACCAGTCTTATGAAGTCCCCAGCGTGAGAGGCTGCGGGTCTGGGCTGGTGCTGGCTGTTTTAAAGTACGGTGCACAGGAAGTGGTACTTTTTGGTCAGACCACATTGCTGCGGGTGGAGGCCCTGCTGTCCGGCCCTGCTTCCAGAGCTCCCTGCAGGGGAGATAGTGCATGTGGGTGAGCAGTGACTGTCCGACCAGATCCCCATCTGGTGAGGCAGCTGATCAGGAAGTCACTCGAGGTCAGCCGCCATCCCTGTCCTCTGAGAGCCAGAGTGAAGGGGAGAAGTTGTTCCTAAGGACAGTTTGGGGTAGGTGGGCAGCTTCTTCTCCAGCAGACAGCCACCAGGGAAGGGACGGGCTGTGGGGACACATTATCCAAGTCTGTGGTGTCCCCTGGAGACAGTACCCCCTTGGCTCACCAGCGGCCCAGTCTGAGCCCTCTGCAGACCAGGCAGGAAGAGCAGCCCAGGGAACAATGGCAAATCCAGGAAAGCTGTGCTTGGAAGGTGACTGCCTCCTAGTCCGTGAACAGAGAGCTGCGAATTCCACAGCTGTTGGAGTGTCACTCCTTGCCCAGCCTGCAAACCTTTTTTCTGTGGAAGGTCAGAACTCATATTTCACATTTTGCAAATGTGGACAGAAACACACACATGGACATATAACTTGCATAGTCCAAGGGCTGTGAGGTCGGGACTGGGATCATGGATCCCTACTCACAAACTGTGCCAAGCAGAGGTGAAACAGGGCTGGCAACTCTAGTGCAAACGGAATTAGTGACATGAGCATGACTTGCTACTCTGGTAGAAGAGAACCATGTATCTTCTAAGTGACCATGATTTGCTTAGATTGCAGGCCACACAGCGGCTCTTTGCTCCGGTTACCTGTCCTTACTCTGCTGCCAGTGGCTGTGTACCACTGCCCTGCAACCCCATGCCAGCAGCTCAGCATCACTTAACAGGAGTTCGAGTTCTGGGCTCCTCAGCCCTCAGCCCTAAGAATCAGAAAATCTAAGAGAGGGACCCAGTCACCTGCCCTGACAAGTCTTCCAGGGGACTCTGATGCACGCTCAATTTTGGGAAGTGCAGGAGACTACCCCTGCATACGCTGGCCTCCCCTGCACCCAGGTGATTTACTTCCTCAGGAATGACTAGATCTCTGGATGTGAATTTCTTCTCCATCAGAGAAGGTGCTAGTGAGGCTGGGGGCCAGCTCCTAGCGTGGTGGTTGGCTCAGTCACTACACAGCCTGACCCCGGACCATCTCCAGGTAGTACCATGCTTGAGCACCCCTGGGACCACTGCTGCACCCAACCCACCCAAACACAATGAAACCAGCCCAGCCACAGTGGCAGCAACTGCCCGACACTGAACCCTGAGTCTTGCCTGGGACCAACCCGGAGATTCACAGGAGCTGGTTCAGTTAATCTCCCCAACAAACGGGTAGCTCTAATTACCTCCACTCTATCAAAGAGGAAGCTGAGGCTCAGCGAGACTGAGCGACTCAGTCAAGTTCCCAGCAGCCAGCTTCAGTCCAGGTGTGTCATTTTCACGCCCCACAGTGCTTCCCCACCCCCCCATGCAGCGGGGGAGGACCTTCCATGATTAAGGCTTGCTCAGTGAAGCAGCAGTAGGGGACAGCAACAGAAACCTGTGTTCCTGAATCTTTGATTCCAGCCGTGACCTGGGGATGTATTTTTAGGCCACTTTCCTACATGGTCAGAGCTCTTCAGAGCTCCTGCTCCTCATGTCCCTGCGCCCTCTTTGAGCTCCCACTGCCTCTGCATGATTCCGTTTGTCCTCTCAGGGTGAGTGGGACAGCTTCTCCACCTCCAGCATCTCTCCGCTCAGTGTTCCGAGCTGCTGTTTCCTGGAAGACTTGAGCCTCCCAATCAATAGCTGGCACTGGCTTGTGGGGTCATACGAGGTGACTTTCTGCTCCGGCTCATTTCACGGTTACAAGTGTCATCGAGTGGTCCGAGAGCTCTCTTGGGGAAACTCCTCAGTGAGGGGAACGGTATTTTCAGAGCAGGGCAATGGCATGAGCCAAAGGTGATTCTCTGGATCAAAAAATCTGCAAAAGATCCTGGCCCTCTGCACCTCAGCAGCTCCCACCACGCCTGTGGACAGGGCAGAGCGACACTCTGGCTTCTGCTCACCCCAGGGCCATGAGCGCAGCCTGGTGAGAAAGACCCAGGCTCCAGGTGTGCTTCTTTCGGCACAAGCGGCGGGTGCTCAGCAGGCTCTACCTTTCTTTCACCTCAAGTTTTCTCGTCTTCCTGGCAACCGGTGAAACCTGCTGACGTCTCTGCCAGTTCCAAATGCTTTACTTCCTTTTAATGTGTGTTTTTCTAAATACCTCAGCCCGCCACACTGAATCTCAACCATTACACCTAAAAACACCTGTTATCTGACATTAAGTAGGTTTTTCCTGTAGAAAGTATGCCGTAGGTGAAGGGCAGCTCAGACATCATTCATGCAAATATTTCTCTTTCCTTGAGTGCTTCCTCTTTTTAGCCAGTTAAAAAAGAACATGAATCACCTGCTGTGTGCCCAGAACTGTGTTAGGCTCTGCAGCATAGCACCTCTGGGCATCCTAGAGCTTGGGGAAGGCTGGGAAGGAGAATGTCAGAACTCAAGACAGGGCTGCAGGCTTGAGTCCCTTCACCTCTGTCTCTATGATCACAAACCAAAAAACCAGGGTTGGTGGGACACACAGCTAAGAATGCTAAGTCAGGAGCCTGCGGCCAGAGTCACAGCCCTTCAGACAAAACCACCTGATTTAAATGTTCACATCTAATAACTACTGGGACTATTCAGGTACTCTGTGCAATTGAGAAAACCTTACAGAACATACTGAAAAGCAAGAGAATGACCTTATTTTCTCAGTGTTACCTAAGAAATTCGCATTGCTCTGGTAGGTTCTTTTATGTGAATTGATTTAAGATGCCTGATCAGTCCCTCAGTGAGAGAATTTCAAGACTGGGAAAAATGTGCTGCAAGATGAGGCTTAGACAAATGGCAATTTGAAACAACCAGACATGTATTTGCTCTGCTTTCCTAATCAATGTTTCAAGTTGGGTCCCACGAACTTAGATTTCTGAGGTGGCATTTTATTAGGGGTGCCAATTAAATAAATGGTCATTCCATTCCCACAACAACAGTGGAATGCAGCAGCAAATTAAGAAATATGGTGGGAGGGGAGAGGGAAGAGAGGAGAGGAGAGACGGAAGCCAGACTGGTCTCTATAGTAACAGGAGAGCAGAGAGACGGTGCTCCTGTGAGGGGTAGGGAATCTGAGCTCCAGTTTAAAACAGAAAAATCCAAAGGACAGGCCCATGGAGGAAACAGTATGTACAGAGACAGACAGTAACATGCTTCACCTACTAACGACTATGCTACAGAAATTAATTGTACCAGGAACAGTAAGTGCTAGGAAGATAATTCAGCATCCGTAACTCTAGAAATATACACTACTTCCTGTGATCTTAGAGGAAAACTGGAACTATCACCATCCTCAGGCGCTTGCTAAAAATGCAGAACCCACTCGAGACCTGCCAAATCAGAGCTGTACTTAGACAATATCCCTGAGAAATCAGCTTGAGAAATACCGGTTTATAAGAACTCAAATTAGTCGCTAAAGTCACTGCAAAGGCCTGAGATATACTGAAACCCACAGGAACAGGAGGTTCTGAAGCCCAGGTAGCCCCTGCAGTGGCCAGGGGGGCAGCTGCGGGCATCTGTCCAGATGCAGGCAAGACAGCGTGTTGTCTGGAGAACTGAAACAACAGTACTAAGCCCACTAACAGTCAGTCTGTGTTTGGTCCTGGAGATGCCAGCTGTTAGCAAGTGGTAAACCTTTCCTCCCGAGGCGAGAGAGGCCACAGAGGGGCCACCTGGCTTTTCAACAAGCTGAGTGTCCAGGGCACGGCGAAAGCTCAGTGGTCAGAACTGGGGCCTGCCCATGAGCCAAGGTTTGCTGAGGGTAGCCACGAAGGCAGTGGTTTGTTTCTCTCCATCTCCATCGGTTCTACCTCTTTCCTCAGACTCCATTTACAGACGCCAAAGTTCAGCTATTTGAACGAACCTTCCCTGTTAGGAAACTACTCGGGCAGCTCTGGTTTCTTTCCTCCTGGACGTGGTAATCCATGGAACAGCACAGGGTCCTCACACGGCCTGAGAAGGGCCAGCTGCCCTCCAGAGTCTTGCCCGCCCCTCGTCTGGTCCCATCTTTCTGAGGGTGGTAGCGAGGGGTGGAGAGGGTCGGAGCTCACCGGACAGCTTGGGGGCCATGAACAAGCCCTCTGCACCTTCTGCCCAGGCCTCTTCCCCACCTCACTCAAGGCGGCCTTGTCTCAGTCAGCGCGGGCTGCCCTAACAGGCACTGCAGCCTGGGCAGCTTCTAGACAATGGAAGTTGCTTCGCACAGTGCAGAAGGGTGCAAGTCTGAGGGCAGCATGCCAGCATGGCCGGGTTCTTGTGAGTCCTCTTCTGGGCTGCAGACGGCTGACTTCTGCATCCACATGGAACCGGAGGGCCACAGAACGCCCTGGTGTCTCTTTTGTACGAGCACTGATCCCATTCATGAGGGCTGCATCCTCATGACCAAGTCCCCTCCAAGGACCCCATTCTAATGCTACCATTTTGGATTATGGCTACAACATATGCATTTGGAAGGACAACACACCCCTCTCGCCTTCTTAAACCTTTCCAGATCAACCCTCCTCACCAAGCTCCCTCTCACTGCCTTTTCTCTCCTACACCCGAACCCCAGCATCTGCGCAGGGTTTCTCAAGCCTGGCTTTCTAGGCGTCTGGGGCTTCGGGGTCTGTCCTGTGTACTAAGGGTGCTGGCAGCACCCCTGATCTCCACCACTGGATGCTCGTGGCCCCGGTTTCCCTGGGGTGACAACTCAGACTGTCTCCAGGCCATCTGAGGTGTGCAAGATCACCTCGGCTGAGGTCCTGGGCTTGGATCTAGCACTTGACTAGACACCCGCCCTGGGACAACTCTGCCTAAGAGGGAGGCTGTCCACTGGCTGAGCGGTCTGGCCTTACCAATGGCCTACTGTGTCATCACTGTGCCTCGGTTTCCAAATGTGCACGACAGGTGAAACAGCAGTGCCTGCCCCACGGGAGGCCTCCATGAGGGTTCAGTGAGGTTATCCACACGCACACTCAGCACAGCAACAGATGCACGGCTCTTGATCACTGTAGCCCCCAGTCCCGTCACTTCTCCCTGCTGGACCTGTGGGGACTGCATCTGCTGTGCGTCTAGGCTACATAAAAGGGATGAGTAAGTCACTTGGTCACTGGGGGCGTGCAGAGCGATGCAGTGTGGGTTGGCCCCACCTCCTGCCCCTGGGAAGCTATCCCTCTCCACGGCAACACCAAATCGGCTCTCAAGGCCGGGCTCAGACCCCGTCCCATTGACCCAGTGTCAGCTTGCTGCCCATCAGCTTAAGCAGAGACTTTCTCACAGTCTAGGTTTTACTACCTCAAGGTCAACTTCAACATCACTGTATACATTTCTCCACTTCTGAACACTCACAGCCTTGGAGGGCCCACGGAACCCTCTCGACGACACAGTGACCCTCCACATACATAGTCATTCCAGCCTCTCCAAGTTTCAGCTCCGCACCTAGCAGAAGGCTGGTGAACGAGATGTTCGAGATGGAGTCTCTCATCTCATTACTAATGTACAGCCGTGTGCTGCACGGTGATGTTTAGCTGACTGCAGACCACAGCAGGACAGTAAGATTACAGAACAACGAAGCTGACAGTGACCCCATGGCTGTTCTAACACCACAGCACAACTCACTCTGAGTGTACTTGTAGCGGTGCTGGTGTCACTGCCTCTCCTGCACTACCTGTCATGTAAAAGAGCACAGGGCTGGAGAGCAGCTCAGTGGCAGAGCCCTTGCCTACCATGCATAAGACCCTGGGTTCTATTTCCAGGGCCACCAAAGAGAAAAAGAAAAAAAAAATACCAAAAACCAAAACAGCAATTATGTACAGTACATAATACTTGACAATGATGATAAACAAAACCATTACTGATTTACAGATTTACTCTGCTATGCTTTCTAGTGCTATTTTAGAGGACAGTGCTCCTCAGAGTACGCAAGAGCCTCCAGAGCTCACGATTACTGTGTTCTGCTTGTAGCAAGAGCCCACATCCAGGGATTGACTAGGTCTGTGTAAGTCTTCCATGTCTATAAAATGACAGAGCTGCCATATGACATTTCTGAGAATGTGAGCCCCGTGACTGATAAATTCTGTCTCTTGATTGATACACAGACAGGGCTTATTTTTTAAAAGGAGCCACTGTCCCTGAGTCATATGCACTCACCTGTATCTCTACCCTCTCCTCTTCAGACGAAGACGATGGCTTTTGTAAATTCGCGGTATGAATTTATTCATTTCTTCCTCAAAGCTATGTCTAACAGTCTTTCACAAAACCCCAGGGACCAGGCAAGTTGTGCAACCCCAGTCTGCCCGTGACCCTGCAGTGCTGTGTAGCTCCTGTGGACGAAGCGTATTTCCTCATACTGGCCATGCAGTTAGCAAGTACCAGTGGGCTGGAAAGAGTACACAGGGATGCTTCATTTCTAAGAAGAAAATCTAATTTCTTCCCCTGAAACACTTACATTTAATTTCTTTTAAGTAGCTCTCGTTGGCTTGTATAACAGCATCAGTTCAGGGTGAAGAGTAAGTAATCCTGCTGAGGTCTGGGAGGGAATAAGGGAATACATGGACTGTAACAGTGTCCTTCCCAGGGCTCTGGGGGAAAGACAGACTCATCTGTGCCTCAGCGTTCTCAGATTCAGAACAGTTCCATGATGTTTCAACAGGGATGGCAAACCATCTCGCGTTCATCTGACTACAGGGCCTGTCTGGAATACTGAGTCATGACCGATCAGTGATACCAGCGGTGGGCATGGCTATGGTATTAGACAGTGGGCCAAGACTACTACCCTGATCTACACAAAACTTGTGCAAGAACTTGTACAGCATAACGTGAGGCTAAGCTGCGTGAGTGCAAGTCAGTGCCTTTTGTGTCTGTGTCCCTCCCGGAGCTGACACTTGGAAATGCTTCCTAAATATTAATGACTGGTGCACAGTCACACTCATGCCACTTCAGGTCTACAAGACAAGTATATGCTGGCTTCTCCCGCGTCCACGTACCTTAATAATGCTCTGGCAGGTGGACAGAGGCAGGCCTACCAGGCTGGTGCCGTTAATGGACATAATTTGGTCCCCAATATTCAGCTTCCCCGACTTCTCTGCAGGGCCACCATGCATCATGTTGGCTATGATCACAGTCGGCAGGATGGATCCCCAGCCAGACTCCACAATCACAACTCCCAGGATCTCCCCTTTCTGCTTCTCTATGAAGACCTGAAAGGAGAAAAACACTTAGAAAGCCTGAATCAGCCATCATGAAGGACAGCGACAGGAAGCAAAGCCATTCCGCCCTCTTGTCTGGGAGAATAGGCAGACATTTCCCAACAGGCTCTAGTCCAAGTGAGCGCTTGTCTTCACGGTCTCCGGCATCTGCAGTCAGTGGCAAAGTATTTCACACAGGACCATGGCATTTTTTTTTTTTTTGTAATTCACCCTCATTTCACACTGGCAATCTGGCTTCACACAACCACTAGGGGCATCAGTTGTGTATTTTGGTTCTGTCAGTCATCCCCAGCGGCAGGGAAGCAGGCTCCGGTGGTGGGAGCACTGGTGGCCTGTTACAGCTTCCCAAAATGGCTTTCAAAGTCTGTGCACAGGTTTCATTTCACAGTGCTTCATAAATTCTGACATTTAAGAATCTTGAGTGAAACACACAGAAACACTTTTCTGTGAGGAAAACGAGGTGATGCCGAAGTTATCACCACCAAAAGGCTGGAGTGTACACCCTGGACATGCGTAATGTTGGACACTTGTGGGGTCAAATGAGAGACGGAGACAGACACAGAGACAGAGAGAGTGTGTGTCCTGGGGACTCACGGAGTCTCCTTCACAGCCGGGGCCCCATCCCCCTAGCTGCTGAGCTCATGGTTGGCAGCTGGCACCTTCTCTGAGGAACTGCCCTTGCCCAAGTGGGAAATAACCCCCTTGGGGACTGAATTCTGCCCCACCTTCCAAATGTATATGTGAAGTGCCAACCTCCAGAATCTCTGGTGCCTCAAGATAGAGGTAATCATGCTGAAGTGAGGCCATCGCTGGGCTCTAATCCAATGCTACTGGTGTCATTACAAGAGGAAAAGTGAACACACAGACATGTGTGAGGGGAAGATGCTGTCAAGACAC